GGCCATATGCGCTGAGCGAGAACGTGATGAAGTGCAGGCGGTGCATGACCGCCGTGTCGGCTATCTCTCGATACTACGACAAAGAATCAGGACGTTGGAGGCCGACCAGTGGAGATACTGAGCATGTACAGTGGCGAGTTTGCACTGTTGCGGGACGTCGACACAAGGGGTGGTGAGCAAGGATGGTGAGACTCTCAACGAGGAGCCGAGGAGTTGCGAACGAACGGTCCTTCTGTGGCCAAGTACTGTCATCTACGCTTTGTGTCTTCCATAGTGCTTTCTTACCGCTCTCTATCCCTCATGTATGCTCTGTTTTTTCATCATCCATAATTGAGGACCGGCGCCTCGGACCTAGATATAACTTTCCGTGCCTTTCCCGTCGCCCTCTATCTACAAACACACCGTCCGCCGGGCCGACCTGATCTTGGTGAGGACGGGGAAACGCTTCGCCGCGGGGAACCACCCCGCCCGCGGCATCCGCCTCTCGAAAATCGAAAACCTCTAGGAGTTCTTCGCGCGCGCGGACCGTCGCTCGTGTCGCCGGCCATGCTCTACCGCTGTCGTTCGCTTTCTCTTCCAAACAGGTGCCGTCTTTTCTGCATTCAGGGCGCCTGATAGGATCTCTCGGAATGCGCGGATGGTCTTGAACGAACGCCTGGCGCTAACTGACTTTCACTGCCTTCTCGTCGCCGATGTAGATTGCAGTACTCCTCATATCGTACTGCACGTGTGATCATACATATCTACTCACGTATCGCAGCATCGACATGCGCAAGCTCGACAAGTTATCGAGAGATACTATGCCCAGGATACCTTGGCGCCATTCGACACGCGAATCAAGCTCATTCAAGGTGACGTACACTCGCATCCTACAGATCATCCGGGAGGTTCGAAGGCCTGTCAGACGCAGTGTCGTTCACTCTGCGCCTTTTCTGGGGCGACGGCGGAGGTGTTTGCAGCGGCCGTGGCACACTACAACCATGCTGCGTCCCCGATGATGACGTGCGTTTCCCCGTTCTACCGCTCAGCAATATGTCTGAAATCCTCCACGCAGTCGACGGCTTCTGTCGGCCGCGCGCGGCCGTGTCCTGCAACGCTTCGTGTTGAGCTTGCCTCTGGACCATCATGAGCCATCTCGCGATATGATAATCGCTTGGCAGACCGTGCATAAGCACCACACTTGACGAGCCTCGGGATAACCGTGCAGTAGGCATGCGCGCTGATGGGTCTTCGACTGTGGCGGGAGGCGCATGTGGACGCAAAGTGACTGGAATGACGTCGCGCGTCGTCGTGATGGTTGGTCTTCAAGCTTCAAAATCCAAGCTTCAGCTCTCCGTTGAATTTTGTGCAAGGTGTCTACCATGTAAATTGGCAGACGATAAGGGTAGTATCACCAATGTATATATGCTTGGTATCGTCCCAGTCTGGATCGCGCAGCTGTCTCAGCCACTCCGAGTCGACTACTCTTCCCAGTCGCTGTGTGTCCGCACCACCAAGCAAGTTGACCAGAACGTCCAAGGCTTGATTGCCGTCGTTGCTATTTGGATAGTCACAAATGACATGCCCTAGCTCGTTGCCAGCCAGGGACATGGCGTGCGGGGACGTGGATGCGAGGTACGCCACAATCTGAGCGGGCTTGACTGTGCGAGGAGCATCCGCTGGCCGATGAAGCCATTGCACGATATCATCGACGCCGTCCGTAAACAAGAAGAGCTTCACATCCTCATGTTTGGCGAGATCGACGTACCCGACATCGGCCCAGCTCGATATGTAGGGCGGCGTTTTGATGTATTCACCAGAGTAATCGAATTGCGCTCGCGGTGGAAGGCAACCTAAGACACGGCGCACATACTTGGCGGGAAGCTTGAAGTGATGATCACCAAGGCCTATAGTCATGATCGGATCGTATAGGACTGGAATGATAGCAGGACTCACTTCGAGTAAGCTCTGATATGCCGAAGATGTACCCGTTCTTGATGAATTCCTCCTTCGGCGGGTGTTCTAGGACCTGGATGCAGTATTCTGCAGGCGTATTTGCATGATGCAGTTGGGTAAGCGTGTTATAGTAGGGAAGGTCTCCGGCCTGGGACTCGTTCATATGCGAAATGGCTGCCAGCGCTCGTTAGGATAGTATGACGATGAGCGTGTGATTCACAAACCGACACTTGAGTCTCCAAGATTGAAAACCCACGCATCTCTGAGGTCCATATTGACCAAGACACCTGATACAGTGCTTCCTTGATGAGCACGAAGCAAGCTTTCCTGGTTCTTCTCAACCATCAGCTTGACGCGTTCTTCATCCATGTTACGCGCATCGTGGTACAAGTCCTTCACGACCTTGCCGATACTATTGTCAAAATGTTTGATCTCCTTCTGTAGTATGAACGCCACGCGCTCCGAGAGTAGCGGGCCCTTTTCAATTACCCCAAGCAGCTCCGTACTAAGCATTCGATCGAGTGAAGAATATATCCGCGAGGAAAGCTCGGCAGCGGCGTAAGTTGAGGTGATTGGGCCACCGTGTCCTGTTCAACATGAGTGGACGAAAGTAGGGTCGACGCTCAGACGCACCGTCAAGTACACCAAGCAGAAGCCATGAGTTGCCGCAGATGCTCCACTGCTGACATATGGTACGGTCCTCATTGACCTTACCACGGTGTGGTTGGAAAGAGACCGTGTCAGCTACGAATCCTGGACCAGTTATACGCGAGCTTGAGCACGATTGGAGCATTTTGCGGCGGATATCATTGGATAGGGAGTTGTGAGCCATGAATCTCTATCGTAATCGAGTCGATTGTAGGGAACCTATCGGGGCAGTGGTCGTTGTCGCGATAGAGGAGCTAGAGAGCCCACCGGGCCGCCACAGTGACCCATGTGTCACGAATTGTCACGCAAAGATATTGACCCGAGCAGCCTGTGTTCTACCTTTCTTGTGCGGCCACCATCCGCGTCTTGAACTGCGCAGAAGCGTTCCAATTCGATTCTCTCCCACTGGCACGGCCGGTCTCCCTCCATTGGGCCATCTGGGATCACACGCCTTCATCGGTTTTAGTGTCCTCAATACAGGACGTCGCGGCGCTGGCTAAGATCGCTAAAGTCTATTGGTCCACTCACCCTCCATTCCGTCTACTATGACTCCCTTGAGACTTTGTTATGTGCCGCCACTCACCGTATAACCCGGAACACGAGCCTGACATGTGCGACTGACTGCGATCCGGGCAAGAACAGCCACCATCGTAACCGAACGTGGTCCCGGTTTTTTGAACTTCAGAGCAGGAGCTCAGTAACTGTGGAGTTCTCTTGACCACGATGTTTTCAATCGATCTCAGTGCTATACTGAAGTAGCCTCTTTCCGAGATGCCTCTCGTCTCTCCAGGCACGTTGTAGGATGATCGAAGGTATGTTCATCGTCTGTATCCACCCCTGACTGAACGAGCACCGATGCTACTACTAGAGAAGAGCCTTGAGTGCAGCCTCTATAAAGCCGGCCGTGTGGCTCTAGCCACCCTCGTCACTCTCCCCTTCTTCCCCACCATTCAGCAGCACCAGCACATGTCTCATAGCAACAACATTGCCGTGTGTCGTCCCCTTGCATACCAGACACATATTTGTATCCTTACGCGAATTTCAGGCCAGCAACAGCGGACGTTCTTCGTCCGCTGAATCTTCTAATGGAGGTTCTGGTACGACATCGTCGTCTGATAACTCTAATAGCGCCACGAGCAATGCACTCCGTGGACGGATCAATCCTCGGAACAACAGCCTTTCAACGGTCCCCGTCTCGTTCGGTGCTCTCAGCTCTTCCAGCTCCTCTTCGCAAGGGTCCAATGGCGGCTTCACCCACTCCTCAAACAGCGCTTCGTCCCACCCATCGTCCCCTCAAGGTAGTGTGCATGCGGTGCCACCTGGCGTGCCGCAGAACCCTCATGCGCAGGGTGCCCATACGCAGGGCTTCTACGGCCAGATGCATAACGCCAACTTCGGGAATCTCAGCCCGGCGAGTTCTTTCGGAACCACCTTGAGCTCGGTGCACTCGAATGCTCAGAGCGGCATGGCATCGCATGGCTCGCCGTCCAGCTCCCTGTGGCGGAACTTCTTCAATGGCCCGCCTACGCATAGTGGCCTCTCGAGTTCCCTTCCCAACCCGGCCTATCCTATCCGGCCATTCCGGACCGTATGCAAGGCGTGCAAGGCAATCGTCGTGCCTACTCGCAGGATCCCCCTTACCCCCCTTACCAGCGTTGAATCACCATATACAACCAGACGCTATGAGTATCGCTCAAGCTCATTCACAATAACTTCTCGGCGGAATACAAACATCCTCGATTCCAATCTTCTCTCAATATACGTTGACTGTCCCATACCTGTATGACATCTGACTTAAGCTCTTGAATCTCTGCCATGCATTTGCCTCCGGAAATGTACTCCACGCTCCCTTCAACCGATGTATCTTTGTTCCACCGTATAGTACTACAGTAACGCACCCTTACGACCCTTCACGATTGACGAGCTTTTATGAATCACGACGACCACGATGTATGCAAATCATATATGATCCATGAGCGTTCTTGCTCCTTTGTACCGCGCGCCATCGTGTCCACGGGAAAGCCCGCCATGCCCATGCCTGCATGCGCGTATCGTTCGTTCATTCGACTACGGAATTGGCGATGCAACTGGGTTTCGCGCGTTGAAGAGCACAGTGTAGATTGCGTGAGAGGTCGCCGCAGTTATTTCTACAACCATGACGACGATGAATGAACAAGAGTGCCAAACGCAGAGTAGCCCATGTGCTCACCATACAACGCCCATACCAAAAAAGTCCTTGAGAGCTGGCCCAACTTTCACCGGTGCCACTCCTACTTCTTCGGAATCGCGTCGTTCCTGAGTACCGACCATGCCAACATCGACGCGCTCAACGAGCTGGGCTTCAGAAGTGGGAGCTTCGTTAGCCGTCAATATTCAATCTCCGAGTCGTACATCGCGTCCAGTAGTCAAGAGCCTGCAAAGTGTATGAGTAAATGACTCCTGGATATGGGACAGGTCATGCGAACGTTCTATGTCAAACCACAATTAAGGGTGCAAATCCGTCGAATGCTCGCTTTCGCCAATATCAATCTCGTGGCAAAGTCCTCAGAACATCGCAAGGCAATCGGCAGGTCGAGGTCGAGCAGCAGTTATGAATGAGTTTGTCGGATTGGTTGCCGTACGACAGGCGCGGAAGGTGGCAAACGAACACATTTCAGGCCTTATTTGCTTGGATATTGGCGAGAACGCAACTGGTAGGGCTGGGGCATGAGCGCCAATAACGTACAATTATATGGCAAACCAACGGGAGCTTGCCTGAGTCTCCCGCATAAGTCCAGACGCCAGGCCGTTCAGGAGTGGATATAGCCCGGGGCCGTTGGTGATGGAGGTGAAGGTCACGGTCAAGACGCGTCGCAACTCGCGTTTCGCTTTGTCTTCTCCCACCACTTGCGGCTCGCCAAATATTTGTGTTGCGCACGATAGACACATACATGCCCTATTTGACATGCACTCGGAATCTCCATTGCGCTCTCTCATTGGTGCCTCCATGAGTTGTCCACGAGCCTGTGACGGCGTGCCCGTGTGCACGTGTCTGCGAAAAGGTTACCAGTAGCATTCCGCGTACAGTACGTCGCGACATGCTTCTAGCAACATCAGAGCTGTGGAATGTCGGAATGTTTCCATCCGTTTGACAGGCGCTCTGAGTGGCGCCAGAGTGCGCACCAGGCGTCTGATGTCGTGACGCTTCCACGCCGCCATGTAAGGAGTCTCTGGCCGTGCGGTGTATTCACTTATCGTTCTTGACCAGAGTCAATCATCATCTACATTCGGTCAAGCTTTACGCGTCTTCCTCCCCGTGGTGTTAGATCGCGAATGTCTCCTACCTAGGACTCGCGTCATGCACCCAACAGTCCGGTGGTGCCACCTGCGAAGAGCCGACCCGGTGAGCTACCTCTGTCTCTCGCCCATTGAGCGCCAGCCAGACTCAATCAGATGCACAGAAATTAGTGACGGTGTAAAAGATGGCATGAAGGGCGCGGTCAAGGTGGCTACCTTAGCGCTCGGTATGACTGCGCAAGCCACACAGAACGTACCGTATTTGGGCGCCGTATCGACTGCACTCACAGAATTCATGAAGATCCAAGATGTGAGGCAGTGTCATGGCGCTTGTCCGAACAGTTTTCATCTCTGTTCACAGGAGGTCGATCAGTGCATCGTACGTTCGGACACGTCAGGACCACACTGCTGCACAGCGAGACAGACGTGGGGGATCCTGAACAGGCGAAGGATCTTGATGCGGAGGAGCGGGAAATCGGTGACGGGCGGGGTGGGGATGCGGAGGGTGATGGCGAGGAGCGAACGCGAGAG